ACGATTCTTGGCTTCAGGCACATCGTTTGCTTTGCGCGCCTGCGCAGCCCGGCTTCGCGCGCCAGCGTGCCGGCTTGACACACTTTCACTCGTACTGTACAACGACAACGCAGTCTTCATGACTTGAAGCCTGCGTTTGTATCAACAAACTCTAAACCCTAAACCCTAAACCCTAAACTGGTGGAAGGCACTGTCTCCTTGTGTGGTCATGAAGAGCAAGGCGCATTAGGCGCATAGCATTGCACTGCTTAACAAGGAATGCACCGGTACCCGCTTCAGCTTTCTTCTTGCGTATCACAATCGCCACGACTTATTGAAACTTCATGTTGTGGAAGAATCAGGGGCAAACCGATCAGGACGGCGTATGGGGGCGGATGGCACACAGCCTTCGGCAAAGGCCGTCGAACCCCCCTAGCCTTCGTCGAAACCCTTGGCCTTCGTCGAACCCCCGTCCCGGCCCTTGTGGCCTTCGTCGAACCTCCGGCGTTCATTTAGCCTTCGTCGAAGCCTCGCGTTTTTTTTCGGGCTTTGTCTTGGCCTTTTGTATCGGCCTTCGTCGAACCCCCTCCCCCTTCGTCGAACCTCCCGGCCTTCGTCGAACCTTCGCCCGCCCCCCCGGCCTTCGTCGAACTTCGTCTCGGCCCGTTGGTATCCCGAGTCTTCGTCGAAGTTCCCCGGCCATCCTGCTCTTCGGCCATCCTGATGTGTTTTCCCCTTAAAGAATGATCTGCTTTCCTTCCGGTGGCATTCCAATGTTGTGTTGGCCACAAGGCACTACATGGCACATAGCATCATACCACAAAAAAGGAATGCCCGCACGAGATGCAGAAATCACGGAAGTATGCGGCAAAGGTGACCACTTTGTGAGAGCCATGCACAAAAAAGGGGCACGTGAACTATATCGGAGTAGATGCCGAGGTGTTGATCATTGAGTTTAGGGTTTAGGGTTTAGGGTTTAGGGTTTAGGGTTTAGGGTTTATAATTGCCACAACCCGTGCGCTTGCTTTCGTGTATAGACCTGGGAGTCCCTCGCGCGCGCGCGCGCGAAGATGTGAGGTGCCAGTGGAAACCATTTCGGGGGTTTTGGAGAAAATCGAGGTACCTTATTTGGGGTCCTTACTATAATCCTACTATTTGAGGGTTTTTGGAGAAAATGGAGGTACCTTATTAAGGGTCCTTACTATAATCCTACTATTTGAGGGTTTTTGGAGAAAATGGAGGTACCTTATTAAGGGTCCTTACTATAATCCTACTATTTGAGGGTTTTTGGAGAAAATGGAGGTACCTTATTAAGGGTCCTTACTATAATCCTACTATTTGAGGGTTTTTGGAGAAAATGGAGGTACCTTATTAAGGGTCCTTACTATAATCCTACTATTTGAGGGTTTTTGGAGAAAATGGAGGTACCTTATTAAGGGTCCTTACTCTAAGGGAGGCCTACTATTTGGGGGGGTTTATTTTCGGGGCCCCTATTTTCGTAAACCCCCCATTGCGTGTCTGCACACCCGTATCTGCAATACCCTTGGCGGGTAGCGGGTCTCCCGCGGCACTTGGTTAATCCTAGCGCATGCACGAACTGTCTGGCAGCCGTGTCTCATAATTCTCATCAACCCTAGACTCTATAAACCCTATAAACCCTATAAACCCTACAAGCCCCCATAAACCCCTATAAACGCCTATGAACCCTATAAACCCTATAAACCCTATGAGCCCCTATAAACCCGATAAACCCTATAAACCCGATAAACCCTATGAGCCCCCTATAAACCCCCATAAACCCCATGAACCCTATAAACCCTATAAAACCCGATAAACCCCCATAAACCCCTATAAACCCCCATAAACCCCATGAACCGTATGAACCCTATAAACCCCATAAACCCGATAAAAACCCCATAAACGCCTATAAACGCCTATGAATCCTATAAACCCTATAACCCCTATAAACCCTATAAACCCTATGAACCCTATGAACCCTATGAACCCTATAAACCCTATAAACCCTATGAACCCTATAAACCCCTATAAACCCCCATGAACCCCATGAACCCTATAAACCCTATAAACCCTATAAACCCTATGAACCCTATAAACCCTATTAGCCCCCATAAACCCCCATAAACCCCATGAACCCTATTAGCCCCTATAAACCCCCATAAACCCCCATAAACCCCCATAAACCCTATGAACCGTATGAACCCTATAAACCCCTAAACCGTGAGACGGCCCGAGGATCTGATGGCTGAGACGCTTGGCCTTGCAGGGTTTAGGGTTTAGGGTTTAGGGTTTAGGGTTTAGGGTTTAGGGTTTAGGGTTTAGGGTTTAGGGTTTAGGGTCGCTTGCGACAGGAGGGGAGGCCATTTTGCTATTTGCTTAAGAACCTTTAGGGCTTAGGGTTCGAGGGTTCCCAAAAGCAAGAGAATAATGAATCCTGTGGTAAATTTGGAGGCGCTTTTTGAAATTATGCATTGTTGCGAGGGTTCCAAGTTCAGTATAGTGTTGTTTGCTTCAGAACCTTGAGGGTCCTCAACAACAAAGGATAACGAGCCCTATATTGCCCGACTTTGTTTGGGGGCTGGCTCTTAAGCAAGGATAAGTATTGAGGAGAGTCAACAGTTGAATGGAAGATAGGAGAACCTGAGTCATGAATTCAGCTCAGCACGTTTTGGGAGGGACCAAGAAGTAGGGCTTATGAAAGTTTAGAGGGGTTTCAACAGAGTGTGGGGTTTAGGGTTTAGGGCTTAGGGTTTAGGGTTTAGGGTTTAGGGCTTAGGGCTTAGGGCTTAGGGGATTTAGGGTGTAGGCTGTGTAGGGTTTAGGGCTTAGCTTATCAGGCCCAACCTTGCCTGACCAGGTCTGAGCTTGGCTCCCTCGACGATGGCGCATCTTCGCGCAGGCCGGAGTTGGCTGGAAGGGTGAGTTGGCTAGAAGGTGGGTTTAGGGTTTAGGGTTTAGGGTTTAGGGTTTGTTCGTCCCGGCATAGTTCCAGGGGTCAAAAAAGGGTTTAGGATTTAGGGTTTAGGGTTTAGGGTTTAGGGTTTAGGGTTTAGGGGGTTGGTCGGTCGGGGCTCGGCTTGGCTGGTTGCCTGCAGGGGCTTAAGAACTCCAACTAAGAATAACAAAAACAAGAAATGATAATCTCTAGATTACCCTTATTAAGCAATTAGTAGTAATCAAAAATACGAATCCCTATATTACCCTGAATACGCAGAATATTTGTTCTTTTCGGGGTTCTTAAGCAATTAGTAGTAGCTGGAGGGTGGTTTCCGGATGTTTAAGATGCTGGCGCTTGCTCCGTTTGATTGTTTACATGTCCAGGTACACAAAGGTTGGCACCGGAAGATTAACCATGTTGGCAACATGAATATGGATACGATTCACCATGTTACTGTTTTTGGGTTTAGGGAAGCCAGAATGCTCACATCTTCCCACTGTGTTGAGGCGCTATGGAGAAAACGGCGACAGGCTCCTGGAGTATTTCACAGCGCCTCGACTGGCCCAGGTGGTTGTTTCCAGAAATCTTCAGAAAAGCATAGCAGGAGATTGCAGAGAAAGCATCTTCTTTACTGCGGCTCAAGCTTAGGAACGATGTCCTAACACGTGAGGCATTCACTTCAAGGTTGTGCGTTTGAACGCTCTCATGCCAGGCAGGCTCCGCAGCGAAGTAATTTAAGCAGTCGGTCTCAAGACGAAGGGACACACAAATGGTACTTGTACCGGGCCGTGCAGCACGCTAAGCTCACTAGGCTGATGTCCGGCTTTGACAATGTCTCTGAGCGAAGTGGGGGAAGTGGAGGTGCCAAAGCTCGCGGCAAAGGCAGAAATCGTCAGAGGCGGGGAGGTGAAGACGAGCTGATGGGCAGGAACACCGCTCAGAGAGACTTTGATGCGGAAAGGCGAGGATATGGAGATGGCCAAGCAGCAGATCCTTGCTCTAAAAGGGTTTAGGGGTTCATATACCTTAATAGGAATTCTAGTAGTACATGGGTATATGACCCAAATGTTAGGGTTTATTTGCTCCCCAAGGATTTCGAGAGAATGGACCGCACCGACAGCGGTCCCGAACGCAGTCGCCACAATCAGCATCGACGGCCTCGTCGTGAACATGCAACAGGTGGGAGGGTGTCCGAAATTAGGGGGGTGCCCTTCTTGGGGTCCTTATAATTATCAGGGAATCCTACTATTTATTTTTTTTTTTTGGGGGGGGGTGGGGCATATTCGGGACCCTAAACCCGAAACCCTAAACCCCGAGTTTCGTAAACCTCCCCCAGGTGATCCTCACCTGGGAACACGAGGCCCCAACTCGGCGCCCAGCTTCCAGTTAGTGCCGCCGCCCCCACCTCCTCCATCGAAGTCCGGGCAAGATGCACCTAGGCCTTAGGGGACTTTTTGGTTTCTTTTTTGAAAAAGAATTTTTGGGTACTCCATTCTTCTTAAAGATTTTTTTGGGTACGATAACTCTAGAAGAAGCAGCTAAGATTTTGTGACTTTTGCTTTAGGGTGTCCAAGATCAGAAAAGAAGGCACGAGACTCCCGGCACGAGCGACATGAGAGTCAAGGCAGCTGCTCGGGAGCTTGCCATCCCGGTTACGGTGCTCAGGGTGCCTGGGTCTTAGGGTTTAGGGTTTAGTGGTTTAGGGTGGTAGGGTTTAGGGTTTAGTGGTTTAGGGTGGTAGGGTTTAGGGTTTAGGGTTTAGGGTGGTAGGGTTTAGGGTGGTAGGGTTAGGGTGGTAGGGTTTAGGATTTAGTGGTTTAGGGTTTCGGGCTCAGGGTGCCTGGTCTTAGAGTACTAGACTTTAGTACTTTTTGTTGGTTCTGGGTAAACGTTGGGTTCCTATTATAGCTACTTGTACTTAAAAAGTATATACTTTTTGTTCCAGGGTCTTCTCCAAAGCTAAGGTGCTTTTTCCACCTACAACCAGATCAGGGACACCGGTCGGCGAATTTCTCAAGAAGGTTTTCCAGTTACCCACCATCCTCAAGGAACCGCGTTCCAGCAGATGCAGCACACCCTTCAGCCTCCGCAAGCCCCCTTGCAGCATCTTCTTGCTACGGGTCCTGTCTCCATGCCGACCACTCCGCCGCCCGGTGATCGTGAAGACGTCATTCGTGACGCCTGCAAGGCTCACGACATACCAAAAGCCGTCATGATGCTTGCGAACCTGTCGGATGAGGAGGGTCTGCAGATCCTGCCGAACGTCGTGGATGATCTCAATCGAGCCTTGCAGGAAGTGTCACAAAGCGACGGCGAGGAGGGAAGATTGAGATCCATTCCGGCCGAGCAGTTGGCGGAGCTCGCCTACCAAATGGGAAGAATCCCTGTTCCGCCGGGCCAGCAGCCAGTTGTTGCAAAGATTCTGCAGGTGGTTGCGGACAAAGCCAAGTACAGGACTGAAGAGCTGCCACCACGCTGCCTTTCCCGCATGGTCTGGGGCTTTGCAGGGGCTTCTGCCCGCAATGACTCCCTCATGTCGGTTGTGGCTGCAGCAGTCGTGAACAAGATCAGAGGCTTCAACCATGAAGAGCTTTCCAACACTGCATGGGCTTTTGCGAAGTGTCTTGCTGTTGGTTAGTAGGGAACGAGGGAATGAGGTACCCCTATGTCCCCCTATATATACCCTTTAAGGGATTATATAGGGTACCTCATTCCCAACAGTAAGGTGCGGGCTGTGGAACGCGCAGCTCGCGCAGTGCCTCGCGCGAGAGTGCATGGAAAAGATCGACACCTTCACGACGCAAAGCTTGGCGAACATGACCTGGGCCACTTAGTGGGGAATGAGGGGTACCCTATATACTCCCTTAAAGAAAGGGTATCTATGGGGAGGATATATGGTACCACCAGCAGCAAGGCCATGGCCCAGTGGGGCACCCGAGAGGAGGCGCTTTTACGGGCCATTGCCCAAGCCTTGCACCGGCAGCGCGAGAGCTTCGAGCCTGCCCAGATGTCCATGGTCTCCTGGGCATTCTCGACCCTGAGCTTTAAGTACGATCCGCTTCTTTGTCGTTAATTGGGTACTTTTTTTAAATTTATTCTTCAGGGTACTTAAACCCTGTAAGGCATAAAAGGTTAGATCTTTCATACTCTCCCAGCCATGAACTAGGCTGATGAATGCGATCATGACCGAGTCGATCAGCCAAATTGGCACCTTCACCAACCCTGAGCTGGCGCATCTTGCCTGGGCCTATGCCAACCTGAGGATCCAGGACCGGGGCCTCTACTCGGCCATCTCTCACCAAGTGCCTTGGGTAGCAGTGGTAGCCTTTGCCCTTTTTTTTGGGTTCTGGGTTTCCCTTATAAAGTGACCTAAACCCTGAACCCTGAACCCTGAACCCTAAACCCTAAACCCTAAACCCTAAACCCTAAACCTTTCAGATGGTTGCTGGGCTACCAAGGTGCAGAGGAACTCTGCGCGAATGGAGCCGGCCGAGATCGCCAACATCGCTTGGGCCTTCGCGAAGAACATGATGGGAACAGACACAGTGACTCGGACCCCGAGCAGGCCCTTCTTCCCTGCTTTTTAGGGTTTGCGTTCCCTTTTGAACCCTTCTAAACCAAAAAAGTGTGCACCCTAAACCCTCAACCCTCAACCCCTAAACCCTAAACCCTAAACCCTAAACATTTTCTGCCAGGTTACCACATCCTGTGCCTAGGTGATGAGGTTCATCGCTGAGCAGGCAGAGCCACAGATTGGCAGCTTTAAGGCCGCGGAGATTACCATGCTGACCTGGGCCTTTGCTGTCACTTAGGGGATTTTTTGGGAGAAGTTGTTTTGAATTATGTTTTTTGGGCACTATAATCCCCAAGAAAAAGCCAAAGCCTTTGCTGTCACTTAGGGGTTTTTGGGAGTATTTTATTGTTTACCGATTTTGGGGGGTACTTCAAGTCCCAAGAAACAGCTAACATATTGATTTTTGCTAGGGTTTTTCAAGTTCAGTAAAGGTCACTGGGCAGCAGCATGTCGGCTTGATGTCCGAGATTGGCTCGAAGGTTGCCAAGCGAGCTGACAAGTTTTCTGCTTCGCAGTTGGCCCACGTGGCGTGGGCTTTTGGAGCACCCCAGGGGGTACTTGGAAACATGTTTTTTTGCTGTCTTGGTTACTGTAATCCCTATGGAAGAGCTGTAATCAGATTTTTTGCTAGGGTGCCCAAATCTCAGTAAAGGCACTTGCAATGAGGCAAACAGACCTGTGTGACAAGGTGGCCATGTGCTTCGAGCACAATCGGAGCAACTTCTCTGCACAAGCCTTGACACAAATTGTGTGGGGTTTCGCCATGGTCCAGTACAGAGACAAAACATTCATGGACCTTGCCGCGCCACACATCATTCAGGGCATTTCAGAGCTGAAGCCACTAGCACTTTGGCGATGTTCTTGGGCGTACAACACATTGCTGGTGAGCAACCTCGATCTCACAAAGGCCATCCTGGCCGCAGCGGCCACAAGGGTGAACGAGTTTTCCCTGAAGGGTTTGGCCAGGCTCGCGGAGACTTACAAGATGGGCCACCGCACCGAGAGCGATGCCGATTTGGAGCTACACTTGAAGGAACGGCTCTCAAAGGCTGTGCAAGGATTCAATCGGCTTTTTCCGGCGTTCGAATCCCTCAGCTCCATCAATGACGAAGCTCTCCCGCCACTGCAACACATCGGTATGGGTGACCTACGCGTGTTTGCGACCAAGTACATCCTTGAGGAGCTTGGATTTGCAACGCCAAACTGGAGCTTTGTGTCAAGATCCTTGGGACCAAATGAACCTTAAAATTTGGGTCAGATACCCTATACTACTATTAATTCCTATGAAGGTCTCTGAACCACAAACCCTTTTAGGGTTCATATTTCGTCCCCAAGGATGCCTGAAGGAGGTTCACAATCGGCGGTTGGCAGACTGCGTGGGCTTCGAGATTCAGGTCGAGAACGTGCTGCAGAAGCTGGATGTGCACGAGTTCCGAGTGCGAGCTTTTGATGAGGCAATGATGGATGATGAGATCATCGAGGTGGGGAAGACGCTTGTGCCGGACATTTTTGGCCGGACCGTAGCAAGTGAGGCTGTCTTGCATGTTGTGGCGGAGACATGCGTCTGCATCTACAGGAACTTGCTTGTGCATCCGCAGTCTGACAGTGATTGTCGGGCGGTGTGCGGATATTTCCGGATGTTCTTGTCACAGATCCCATCGTTCAGCAGCATTGCGCTGTTGGTTCAGATGCGGACCAGATTCCCCAATGTTCAATTCGAGTTTGTGGAGATGCAGATGACAGCTCCGAAGAGTGCTATGAAGTGTCTAGGAATGGAGAGCCAGTGAAGCAACAGAAGCCGGCCACAGAGCTTGAGCAGAGTAGGCTAGGGTTTAGGGTTGAGGGTTGAGGGTTTAGGGTTTAGGGTTTAGGGTTTAGGGTTTAGGGGGGAGGGCGCGTCGTACATGGCTGTAATATCCAGCTCGACAAGTCCTGGTCGTTGTGCTGTTCGCTCACTGAGTGTAGTTTTGTTTTTTTCTATCAAGTTTATGTGTAATTAGTAATAATTGTAATCTCAGTTATAGCTAATTACGTACTGAAAAGTAATTAATTAACTAATTAGGTAATTATATGGACGTGTGAGATGACGAAGTGCGAGGCCGTGTCTCTTCCTACCTTCCGAAGCCTTGCCCGCCGCGTGCGAGTGTGAGAGTTGAAGCCAGAAAGCTCCCCGCAAAAACCGAACATCCCCCAAGCTCTAAGCAAAACCTAAAACCCCCCAAAGCTCTAAGCCCAAAACCCTGAAGAAAGCCACAAGAAGAATTCCTGAGGAAAATCCTGGGCCTGGAGCTTACGTCGTGCCCGGCAGCTTCGGCGTGTCCGATCGCAGCCCGGGGAGGTTGGCGGCAGTCTCGAAACGAGGGTCCTCTTGAGGGTTTATCGGGGTTTAGGGTTTAGGGTTTACGGTTTAGGGTTGCCGGAATACTCAGGACGCTGCCGAAATGCTGCCAAGAGTCCGGCCAATTCAGCACTACTGACATGCCGAACCCTAGCAATAAAGGCTTGTGGAACATACTCAAACAAAACAACTTTATAAGACGCAAGAAATCATAATCCGGCAACGCCCTCAGTCCGGCTGCAAAAAAGGGTTTCGGGTTTAAGGTGCGAAATTGTGGGTTTTGGGTAGCATTTCGTTTTGGGGGGGCTGGTAACAATGGGTCTATTCCGCGGGCGCGCACTGTGCCCTATAAGACCCTACGAACATCAGGACCCGTGTTATGACAAGGGCTGACCATCACCTGGGGAATTGCCCAGGTCAGCTCGCCCCTTTGAAGCTGCCTGGGTTTAGGGTTTGGGGTCTGGGGTTTAGGGTTTGGGTTTAGGGGTGTCCACCATGTTCTTAATGTTCTTAGTGTCCTTATCATGGCTGCCGGGCGATGTCAGGCGCATTTTCATTCTTAGCCACATGGTCCCTTACTATGGGGCCCTGACAATTCGGAAGCCCTTAAATACTACTTCTATACACCAGTCAAAGCCCAGATTTGTTCGATCATCCGCGGGAGTCGGAGGCACGGCGGTGCCTTCACGATGCAGGGCAGATACAAGTCGAAGGAGCACCAAAAGCACATTAGCTCCCCGGCCTGAAGCAAACACCTGGGATCTTGGGGGCGGGGGGGGGGGGGGGGGGGGGGGGGGGGGGGGGGTGGGGTGTTGGGCTCCAGGTTTAGGGATTAGGGTTTAGTATAGGGTTATAGGGGTATAGGGTTATGGGTTATATAGGGTTATAGGGTTATAGGGTTTAGGGGCTAGGCCCCGCTTTCAGGTGCTGCCGGCAGCCTCGTCAGTGTCTAGGGTTTAGGCTCAATAGCGTTTCACTTTCCTCTTGGTCCCCTTGTCCTCAAACCGAAAGAACACCCTAAAACCCTACACCCTAAAACCCTAAAACCCTAAAACCCTAAAACCCTAAAACCCTAAAACCCTAAAACCCTAAAACCCTAAAACCCTAAAACCCTAAAACCCTACAACCCTACAACCCTACAACCCTACAACCCTAACCCCAAACCCTAAACACGCGGCAGAGAGTTCTCCGAGGCCCGGCCCAGTACTCCCCTTGTATGGAGCCGACCTCCCCAAGAAAGCCGGCCTGGACCTCGACTGTCTGGTTTTCAGGATTTAGGGTTTAGGGTTTAGGGTTTAGGATTTAGGGTTTAGGTTTAGGGTTTAGGGTTTAGGGTTTAGGGATAAGGCTTGGGACTTCGTTGTTCTAGGGGCTTCTAGGCTTTCGGGAATTGGGGCATTCCGATTTCCGATCATTCGTTGGCCCAACACATACCGGTGTTGGATCTTGAAGCCTGGCGAGCGCGACGTGCTTAAAGTGGCAGGGGGCACCAGTGCAGAGTTGGTGCGATATTTCCGGACTCGATGCAATACATGACCTTGAATAAATGTGTTTCCCATGGTCAGCCACCAGTGTCAGGCGTGGACCTTCAGCAGACGCCCGAAGTCTGCGCAAAAAGCGCAGGCGCCTCGCGTGCGCCTGTGGCTCAGTGCACGGGATGGAACAGGGACGCCACATCTGCTGAGAGGAGCTGGCAGCAGAGTTGCGGAACACTAGCCCAGTAACATCCTAAACGCTCTCCCTTCTAAAAAGGCGCAGTGTCCCTGCTGAGTGGTTGAGAACCTTTCGACTTTTCTGAATGCTGTTGGAGATATAGAGGGGGGGGGGTATGGAGGAGTCTCCACCCTAAACCCTCAACCCTCAACCCTAAACCCTATCCACACATGGTCAGTTTCTTTAGAGCCGGTGCTATTTTTTATAAAGTGGACAGCGCGGGCTCCAGCAAGTGGCTTCCATTGAACGCCAGCCGACTGGAGGACCCGGGTTCAGGGTTTAGGCTTTAGGGTGTGTTCAGTGGCGCTGGGGCTCTGGCCGAATTCCCGTTTAATTGAAGAGTTCCTAATTCATCATTAGGACGCCCCTTATATAAGGTACATGTCTCAGATGGGCCGTGAGCTCTTTGAGAGGAGCATGGATGCTCCCCTGGACCCTGGGATTTCGCTTCTGTCTGATGACAGCAATCCACCTGGTGGCGGCCTGAAGTCAAGCACTCTCCGTGTGTGGGTTCGCAATGAAACTGCAGCCAATCTCGGTCTGAGTCCAGGCCGTCCGGCTGCAGATGTTGAAGCCTGGCAGCAGCACAGACCAAGATCAGCGGGGACGCATCATGCGTGCAAGCGAGTCTCTTCCAGGGTCACCCCACGAACACCCAAAACTGGCGGACAGCATGTTCCTCAGGGGCGTTGCGCACATTGCAGCCGTTTCCACATGATCTCAGACCACTCGTCACACGATGACATAGTACGAAACCTTCGGCGATGTGGCTACTCTATCTACTGCCATCCCTATAAGATTTCCTTGCCCGGCCCCGCAACTCGCAGCTTTGCCATGGAAAGCTTTCTTGACATCATCGATGACCTCCACCAGCAGCAGCTGAATCTTGCAGAGGAGCAGCATTCGGTGCTGCGGCAGGCTGTCCTCAACCATCTCCAATCCGAGCCTTTGGAGACAAAGCCCGCGACCCCTCTTCATGACTGTGCGCGGCTACAGCTGCCCAGTAGTAGAGCAGGCAACCTTTCACCTTTTTGGGTGAGTATAATCCCCTTATAAACCCTAAACCCTAAACCCCAAACCCTTATAAACCCTAAACCCTAACCCTAAACCCAAAGGTTAACCTTTCCCCCCAGGTTACTGGACAACTAAGGCTGAGCGCCACGCTGCTCACCACACAGCCCGACCTGACGGTCGATGACCCGTGTCCGATGAGCCCCACCGTTCGAGGGGAGAACCGTGGACGTCACCATGGGCTGCCTGGCAACCCTACACATTTAGGAAAATTTAGGGTTTAGGGGTTAAGGGTTTAGGGCTTAGGGCTTAGGGTTTAGGGCGGTTTCCGAAATTCGAAATTCGGGGTACCTTATGGGGGTCCCGATTAGAAGGGAACCCTATACCAGTTTGGGGGTCTATTTTTGGCAGCTGCCTTCATGTCCACGATCGAAGCCAAGGACTCTCCAGTCTCGCACTTCGATGATTCGCAGCTGGCTTTCTCTGTCCTCAACGCCCGACTCGGAACAGATCCTTGGGGACCAAATGAACCCTAAAGTCTTTGGGTCATTATACCCTATACTACTATAATTCCTATTAAATTATTAAGGTTTATGAACCACAAACCCTTTTACTACTATAATTCCTATTAAGGTATATGAACCATAAACCCTTTGAGGGCTCCTTTCGGCCACAAGGATGTCGGGGGTCCTGCCAGCGTGCAGCCACATTGACCGCGTTGAGCCCAGAGTCCGGTGGTTGCGATGTTTGGACACTTGCCTGCAGTAGCAACTTCAGAACCCCAAGACTAGTTTTCCTGAATTATCTAAGAATTTTGGATTAGGCTAAAGAAGAGGTCTATTTTTGGGTCCTATAAGCCCTGCAAGAAAGCAGCTTTTGAGTCGTTTTGAGTCCTTAGGAAGTCGTAAAGAAAGAGTCTCGGTTCAAGAAGTTCTTGAGCGCCTGACATCTCCTTCCGAGGATCGCGCCGCGGCCGCATTGATCGTCTTGAATGCCATCAACATGATGGTGGAGCTGGAGCTCGAAGGCCTTTTAGGGTTTAGGGTTTAGGGTTTCGGGGGCTCGGATGCCCAGAGACGTCGGAGACGTTCGGTGGGCATCATGTGTGCAGTCGCCCATACTCTGCTTCTACGTCGTGGTATTCTCACTTTCTTTTTTGGGATTCGCCGCCAACAGTTATGTAGCTGAGGCCGGAATCTGATAGAGTCAAGAATTATGTACACAGTCGCCAACAATGACAATGACGTGTTGCCGACATCACCTGCGTTCGGGCGGCATTCTGAATTCACTCCAGCATGCACGCAAGCCCAGCCCTACACCCGAAACCTCGATGAGCGATTCTTGTGCAGGACGGGCAGCAGCCGAAGCTTTGGCAAGCAATGCCCCTAGCCAGTGCATCTTTATGGCTTGCCCTGGAGGAGCCGTCCTTTGGGTGTTCCAAGATGCATTGCGAGTCACTTCGGTTTTCGTCATGCATGGTTGCATGCGTAGCGCTTTTCCACGCAGTGCAAGAGAAGCCAGTTCCGCAAGAGAGAGAGAGAGAGAGAGTGAGAGTCTGCTTGGCGGGTGGCAAAAAGAAACAAGCACCCTGTCTGGAAGAACTGCACTCGATGCTGCGCTTCACCGCCGGAGTCTTTGACCTGGCTTTCTTTGTGGAGTCGCGGCCTTGGCACCCTCCAGAGAGTAGAGTCGAGGCTTTAGGGCTTAAGGGCCATTGGGGGGTTGCCCACAAGAACTCGTGTACCTCAACCCTACAAGGTGGGGCCCCCTAAGTAGAATTGCATCAGGGCCCGACATTGCGTTACAAGTATCCCCATGGGGTTGTGAAGCCCCCCCCCCAAAAAAAAAACGAAGCCAGGGTGCCGGTGTCCAAACCCTAAACCCTAAACCCTAAACCCTAAATAAACCCCTAAACCCCTAAACCCCTAAACCCTACTTGGGGCCTCGGAGTCCCTATAGACGAAGTACGTTCAGGGCCATGTCTTCCCTATGTACATGGACATGGACCCCTACATGAAGGTGCCGGGGTAGTTATGAGTGGGGTTAGAAGTAGGGTAACGACGACTTTGATAGCTCGTGATACCCTTGTTAAGGGCTCTTAAAACCCTACTTCTAGCTACCCATGAACGTGAGGGTATTCCTGGATCAGAAGTGAGGCTCCTGGTCCGCGTGGCATTGGAGAAAGCTCCTTTGCTACAAGAGAAGTTTATTTGACAATTTGTGCACTTCCCAAAATAAGGTTGCCTACTTTGGGGGGAGTCCTGTGGAAGAGATGATACTCTGTTTGGGGTGTAGAATAAGGAGTACTGTTGGGAAGATGCCCTCAGCTGCGGTGAGACCCTTGTGCGTCATGAGTCGGTAGCTGAATCAACCCTAAACCCTAAACCCTGAACCCTAAACCCTGAACCCTGAACCCTGAACCCTAAACCCTAAACCCTAAACCCTAAACCCAACCTGAGGGAAACTTCTGCCAAAAGCTTGCCAACTGGTTCGACGCAGTCCTTGCAATTGCTGGTGTGGCCGCTGCTCTGCAGAAAGTGTCGCAAGGGAAGCTCACTGCATCAAAGGCTTGCGCCTTGTTGTTTGCACACAGCCCTAAACCCCAAACCCCAAACCCTAAACCCTAAACCCTAAACCCTCGATGCCTTGCCGGCCTTGTGCGAGTGTGAGAGTCGAAACCCTAAAACCCTAAACCGTATTCCCTAAACCCTAAAACCCTAAACCCTAAACTCTTCAAGGTGCACTTGGTTCTCGTCGTCGTCATTGAGGTCGGCGAGGTTTCTGGAGGTGTCCCGCTGTTTCTGGGGGTTGTCGGAACCATGCCCTAAACCCTAAACCCTAAACCATGCAGGCCATGTCAGGCCATCCCGAAACCCTTAAATCCTTAAACCGATTTGGGGTTTGGGATGCAAAAGGGTTTGGCACTTAAGAGAGTCCTATGGCAAAAAGGGCTTGAACCCTTGAACCCTTAAACCCCTTAAACCCTCAGCCCCAAAAAAGAAGTAAACCATAACCCTAAGCCCTGAACCCGAACCCTAAACCCTAAACCCTAAACCCTAATCCCTAAACCCTAAACCCTAAACCCTAAACCCTAAACCCCAAGCCAAGGTACCAAAGTCCTGGGCTTCGTGGGGCTGCTCCGTGCGCTCCGCGCGATCCGACTCCTCCGGATCCTCCGCTTCTGCCGCGGCCTGCGTGTGTTTCTGTCGGCTTGCGCCTTGGCTTTTGAAGGCGTTTAGGGTTTAGGGTTTAGGGTTTAGGGGTTAGGGGTTAGGGGTTAGGGGTTTAGGGTTAGGGTTTAGGGTTTGCTTGAAGGTTCATGGGTACTTAGAGAAGTGGGGTTATAAAGTACCCTTAGTGAGGTTATAGCCATAGTTCTCCCCTACTTTATAACCCTACTTGCACGTACCCTAAAGAACCTCCAAGCGGGCGTCAGTCCAAAAGAGATGTAGTTGGCCCTAGATCCATGCCGTGGTTCCAGACGAACTATGGGTTTAGGGTTTAGGGTTTAGGGTTCTGGCTCCGTATATACTTACATGTATATGTAATCGCCCCGGAAATAGTCGGATTCCCTTTCAGTAGGGACCCCAAATAAAGGTACCCCTATAATATCGGAAACCCCCATATCCACTCTTCATATCCTTCATGCTCACCGGACCTAGGGTTTCAAGTGTCTTCATTAGACCCATGTGGCCTGAACAAAGAACAACGATCACAATGTCCTCCAACCTTTTTTTTAAACGTATCACCTGGACCCGTTGGTATTGTTGGTTTCGGTACCTGCGCATGCTACTTATGGGCCCAGGGCTTGATTGACCTTGGCAAGTTGGCATGTATTGTTGGACGACTGCAGAGGAAGTGCTTGCTGGATGGTTGTTTTTTCCTAACGTGGGCTTTTCCAGATACCGCCAGCCTTTCCTGATTCGAAGTGATTTGGGCTGTGGCCCCAGGATCAGTGCAACTGAACTGGGGCTGCCTTGCACTGTATCTTTGTGGTTGATGACATGAACACGTGGGGGTGCATGCTGTGGGCAGGGGGTTTCGCATCTCAAGATAGCTGCAAACTGGAGTTAGTCGGCTTGACAGCGTTAGGGGGATTGAAGAGGCCGCGAAGAGTTGGGGGCGCATGCCCATTTCGTGTGCATTTTGTGCACACTTCACGGGCCAGATACAGCTCGTAAAACATTGCCAGGCCCATATATATTCGAGGTTCTCCACATAAAGCCATGTTTCTTTGCCAGCGCTGTATGGGTAGGTGCTGCTAAGAATGACTTGAGCCAAGGCAAGACGTTTTTATCGTCGCTGGTGTGGGCGATGGTGCTGCTGGGCATTTTCTTGTCCATGGCTTCGCTGATGGTCGGGAATATGCTCCAAACGTACATCACGAACCCGATCGAAAATTGGGAGAAGCGAAAATGGATGTGGGAAAGGTACGGCACGGCATACAACGCGGCTTACACACTTTTCGAGGTGACCTTCGCCGGGTATCTCAGCCGTCCATTCAGTATTCGTTAATGTTTCCAAGTCAACCCAGCTTGGGCAGCGTTTCTTTCTTTATGAAGCGAGCATATCATAGAGACGTGATCATTATGATTGGAAGTCGGCCGCGTAGCATTTTGCCTGCAGGGTTCGCCTAGGCAAGTCTATGTGCTGTGGGCTCTTAGGTCCGTGTCGGCGGTATGTAGATGTATATACATATATATATATATGTGTGTGTGTGTGTGTAAGACGTAGTCTAATACAATATAAGATAAATATAACTCAATATAACATGAATCTACTATAGTAGACAATGCAATCTATACATACTATATACTATACTATATACACAATATACAATACATACAATCTATGCTATATATATATATATGTATTTAATATACATTTACATATATACATATATATATATATATGGTATGTATGCTAACCCACCCAACCTCCTTCGACAAACCACCCACCCTCCTTCGACAAACCAAAATGCGAGCATGAATCCCGGACTAAAGCCATTTAACAGAACGGGCACTTTTGAGTCACTTGCAGCTGCAAGCAAACCCTTATAAACCCTTATGAACCCTTATAAACCCTTATAAACCCCTTATAAAGCCCTATAAACCCTAAGCCCTACTTTAGCAGGGCTACAGGCTGGAGCCTTGGCCAAGTCCAGGACTCACACGCGGCGCGCCGTTCAATCTCACATTCGAGTGAGGGTGGTCATGTGCTCTTTGCTCCTGACTGGCAAACTTGGCCTTTCATTCCTTTCAGTTGCGCGCAAGGGGACAAGCGCTTCTTGGCCTCTCAGAAAATCGCTCGAAGCTTGACTTCTGCGCGCTCTGGGGCATTAAATGGCGTCGGGGACTGAGCGATGAGCTTCAGCGACAAGGGGTTCAGGCCACCGTCTGTCGCCATCCTAAAATCCTCGGTGCCAGACTTCTGATGCTCAGAGTCAGCTCTAAGGCTGAGAAAGAGGAGGATGCACGCCTCACTAAGGCATGTACCATGGCCAAAAGGCTCTCCCCCATCCTTTTTCTCAAAAACTTTAATTCTTCCGTGCAAACGCGCTTGCTGTGGCCGCAGCCCCGGGGCACGCCCGCCTCGCCAGTCTGAGTGAGGTGCAGCCTCTTCGGAGGGCTTTTGCTGATCTCAGTGGCAAGGGTAGCTGCACAGACCGCTCTACAGGCTCTGGCAAGTGATCCTCTTTTTCGAGTGGGTTGCGCTGTGACCTCCCAAACCCTCTTAGCCACAGGGTCCGACTCCCATTGGGGTGCTAAGCAAACCTCAGGACCAGTCTGGCTGGCTAGGAGGTGGATCAAGCGCCACAAGTGGACCAAGGAAGGTCGTCCGTGGACTTGGATAAACGAGCAGGCTAAGTTTGTGTTGTCACGCGGCGCCCTAGTTGCCTTCGGGCCCGACCGTGCCGGCTACTCGTTGCGCCCGCAGCTGGCTCAGCGGGAAAGGGCCAACTGGCTCACGCACTTAGGGAAGGCTGGCGCGCCTCTTGCTGGGCCGCTTTCTTGGCATCGGGCTCGAGAGCGGCTGCTCTTTTGCAGCGCATGAGCTGGCATGGAGGTCGCTCATGCTGCAAAGCGGGTCCAAAAGTATGCTAAGGACAACCCGAAGGACCGCTGTCAGGTCTATGCACTTCCGATCACTACGTATCGAAAGCCACTCTACAGCAGCAAAGGGAGACTGGTGGCGCTGCCTAGCTGTGAGCACGAGTGGACTTGTCCTCATCCCGTTGGGGCCAACACTGTTCATCAACCTGCTGATGTTTTGCAGAGAACACTAGCCTGGCCGGTGCTAAGGACTGCAGCTCCAAACGCTCAGCTAAGATATCATGATGAGCTTTTCATGAGACAAGTGGCGACCGTGCGCCGCGGCGTCCTGCTGGAGCGCTACGGCAAGGACGCCGCTGCAGAGGGAGAGGGCTAAGGCGGACGGCCCCCCGCTGCGGAAAGCACGAGCACTACTACTGCAGCTCGAACCGCATCTTCCATTTGCTACACATCGTTTTCCCTACCGAACCTAATACAAATGCCGAATTAACTGATACCGGCGAACCAGTCCCCGCCTCAACCAGGTGGACAGGTAGCAGATGCATTGACTGGGGCCTCCAAAAGTGCCAGTTTGCAGAACCCACCCTCCTTAACGAAAAGCATAGCGACCATATACTTGTTAGCTAGAATGGACCCAACACCCTGTGCAGTTTATGAGGCAGAGTCGCCTTGTCAGCTTACCCAATGTCGAAAAGCCCGAAAACACCAAACTTGACAAGTGGCAGGCCCTTGTCCAGCACCCCTGGGACCGACAAAACGTGCCAGTGCAAACTTGGGATGCTTTTTGCCAAAAACTGAGCCATGCCCGCGCCGGTGCCAAAGATGCCGTCACAGACGTCACAGACGCTCCAGCTCATGCTGGCCGGCAGTCTTGTGCAACCAAGCGCGGCCTGCCCCGCGCAGAAATGCAGTTCCCGCACCACCGTGCAGTCGCCAGGCAAGATGACTCCATCTTCTCTGCTAGACTCCGGAAACTTTGGTGCAGACAGCATGAATATTTCAAATTTCACTGTCACGCTGGTCTTCGTAATGAGGCGTCTGGAAATCTCCACTATCATCTCGAAAGGAAGCCTCGCCGCCTTGGCTATCCAGGCTGCCCCACAGACCCTGCTCGCCAGGAGCAGCTCCAGCAGTGGATAAACGATAACCTGCACTCCCGCGAAGAGAAGGCTAAACAAGCGGCTGTCACGCAGTGGCGGCGCCGTATGATGCACAGCGCGACAGTCAAGTTTTCAAATGGCTAACGCGGGATTTCAGAGGGATCTACGAAAATGGGCGCCCTCTTACCGCTGATAAACTTCACGGCAAAGCAGTGAAGTTTTGGCGCAAAATTTGGCCTAGCGACGAGGCAGATGCAAGCCAGCACAGATTGCGCCAGGCCCGCTCTCTTGCTCAGATAACCCTCCCCCCGAACTTCGTGAACTTATAAGGCCAGAGACTTCCAGCGCAGTTTCGCTCACGTGAGCGGCAAAGCTCCCGGCCTCGATGGCTGGACTCGGGAGAGCATCATGCAGCAGGGCGTCGAGCTCATCAAAATGGTCGAGCAGGGCGCCATAGGGCGCCCCTTGGCCCATGCTGTTGCTGTTGTGGCGTGCAAATCAAACAAAAAACCAGGTTTACTGGACTCGCTGAGACCAATCTCAGTTGGTAGTGTTTGGTATCGGGCTTACTCTCACATACGGATGGCCCAGTTAGCCAATTGGATTAGGGGCACACTGCCGCCTGAGCTCCATGGCGGCGTCAAAAATAGAGGAGTTCACTCTGCCCTCATAGTTCCCTTGGCTTCTCTTGAAATAGCCCAACCCACCAACGCCGTGCAGTTTGACAGCATCGACCCTTCTAGGCCTCGTTTTTTGGGTTCTGCCGACTTATCCTTAGGCCATTGATCGTCTTCATGCTGGCCACTCCCTCCGCCGCATGGGCGTCCCGCATACATTGTGCAACGCGCTGGGCCTACCGTCCTGGACAATGTGGGGGCCCTTCCTGAAGGGGGCCCGGCCAGCCCCCTCGGCCTCACCTGCGTCATCGCGGAGGCGCTTCGCCGAGTTAAGGCGCAACGTGGCGCCCAACACGCCGCATTTATTGATGATAGGACGTGGTTTGCGCGTTGTGCTGATGAAACAGTTGCCATTGCCCAAACGTGGAAACGTGAGATGAATCGCATCAATATGAGCGAAATAGATCTAAGCTTGCTTTTGCGGCGCTTGGGGTTGTTCGCGGCAAGGAAGTTCTCCCAGTTGCCCTTAATGCCACTGACCTGCAAGGATCTATAAAGGACAGGCCAAGAATTCTCGGCGCGCGCCTCATAATGCAGCGGGCCAGCAAGGCCGCCGAGGCGGAAGAACTTGCAAGACTATCAAAAGCAGCCAACCTTACCAGATGGGTGCGCTGTTTGCCGCACTCACTTCCCCGCAAGCTTTTCTTTTATCAAAGCACGGCTCTGGCGGTCGCTTCGGCTCCAGTCTATACCCGCCTAAACTCCTTGCGAGAGCTGAGTACTTTGCATTCTTGTTTTGCAAGTTTAAATAATAACGAACACGCATCCTTAGACATGCGAGGTCCTGTTTACCGCCTGCTAAGCGGCCACTCCGCAGACGCCGCCTACAGAGTGAGCATAGCCGCGGCGAGCCAAGTTTTGCTTGCAGCCGTTAAAGGAGACCTCACGCAAACACACTGGCCTCAACAACAAACTATGGGACCAATCGCTCTTACACGAAAGTGGATGGTCCACCAGGGTTAGATTGAAAACGCCCCCTGGACCTGGGTGCACCCGCATGCACAAATATACCTGGCGTGCCACGCCATGCCGCAGATGCCAGCACAGTTTTCACAATTTTCAGCCCAGAAGGATCAGGGCCAAATTGGAACTTGGGTCTCCCAGGCCCGATGGCGTTTCGCAAGAGGTGAGCTAGTCAGCCTGTGCTTTGCATGTGGTCATGATTCTCCAGACCTTGAGCATGAATGGGGTTGCCCCCTGCTCCGCACCACCGATGTGCAAGCCTCCGACGAGTTGGAAGCTTGGCTCGGCTGGCCGCAAAGTGCTTCTTCCACTGCATTCTTGCTTGACCTCACGCAAGTTCGTTGTAGGATCCTTGCCCATAGGTATCCGTGACCCCACTGCTCTCGCAGTAAGCTACAGTGCCCAAGGTTTTGGCACCGTGAGTTTCGTTTTTTTTCTCTCATTCCTGTTTGGCTGCAGTTGTCGCTGCAGCCCACTATTGTGCCTTTACGTGGCAATCCCTACTAGCTGGGTTCCCGACCACGTTTCGGTTCTACCCTAATTGGCGGGCCGTTGGCCCCACTCACTGTGCAGCCCCCTCGCTCTGATGTGTGATGTGTTGGTGCACTGCACAGCCGACAGGCCCGTAGGAGAGCGCCTCTCCCCATCTGTCTTGCTCGCGAGGATGCCGAAAGCCCGTGCACGGCTACGC